TGAAAAGGAAAGAGCTCAAAAAACACACACCACAAGATAGCTCTCTCTCTCACACCCACACCCACACCAGCTCGAACCACTGTGCTGTTCTCTTGTGCTCTACAACACAACTGTGTAAAACCTCAGACAGTAAGCCAATTTTACACTGAGTGTGACGTGAATCGTGTATTTACCGATTACAGATTTGGGTTCTGCTGGTCAGTTTGTTCAAGATGTTAATGCTTTATTGTTTTAATTGATCTACGGGTGTACACCGACTTGTCTCCAGGAGACTCACCTGCGGGGCTCCGGGTGTATCCAGGACAAGGTCGGGCAGCTCTCGGAGCAGCTTGTCGAAGGATTTCTCCATGTCACTGCGGGACAGAATGGACCCGCACAGGTCAGCCAGCAGCCTGGAAGTGAGCTCCCGCTGGCTGGCTTTGGCCTCCAGGGCCAGCGACACAGCCAGCGAAGGTACCTCGCTCCGCATGGGTCCCAGGTTCAGTTCTGCAAGCAGCTCCTGGATGTAGAGAGAGATGATAACTTGGCACGGGCTTTATGGTTCATGTATTTAAATTCTTGATATGTATCCATGTTATTTATAAGCACAAGTTTACCGGCAGCTGTTTCCTGCACTTACCGCTACTTCATTTGTATCTGCGTGTTCAAAGTACTCTTGCACTATGGGGGTGACTGTCTTCTCAAAGTCCCTCTCATCCAGCGGGGGAACCACAGTCTCATACACACAGTTTTCCTGTCAACACACAATCACATTGCAGGTCTTTCACAATTCCACAGTGAAAGTGTTTAATGCAGGGCTGTAATCATGCTATTCCAAACACTTTGTGTCTACTGAAGATGTACAACATCAACATCACAGTCAGTACCTGAGCTTCGTCATAGTTGGGGTCTTTCTCATCTACCGCCTCCGGTTCATAAACTTCACCTGATCTGCCCCACACACCTTTCCCTCCAGCCCCACCTGTGGACAAAGGTCAGCACAATGTGACACATGATATCTGACAACATCACCATCACTCATGTTAAGGCAATATGATAAAAAAAAAGAGCAAAGCCATGAGCAGTGTCATTTTCTAAAGACTTAGTGGAACATGTCTTGGTTACCTGAAACAGGAGTTGTTTTGTGAAAAATATGATGTACCTTAAATAAAACACTTGAAACACCTTAAAAGCCTTTTCAAAGCAGACATAATAAGAAGGGGGAGTGCTGAGGGTTACAGAGGATGGTGTCATGTGTCAAAGTACTGAGACAAAGAAACAAAGATGATGATGATCTAGAGCAGGGAAACATCTTTAATCTCAAATATCTTTAATAACATCTGTCAGATTAAATCTTATGACTAGTTTACACCCACTATAAAACGGGACTGCTTCCAGACAAATCCCAGATAGAATCAACTTTATCGTCACATAGAATCATACACAGTACAACGTATAGTGAAATTATACAGAGCCTTGCAGTGTCAAGTCTCACTAATTATTTTCCAGAGTAGCTACAGTTCTAATGTCAGGAAGGAAATAACTGTCAAGAAACGTTTGATGTATTTTTACAAAAGGTCAACCAGTAGGTCTTTACCTTTCTATTGAGTGTGCAGGCAGGTGTTCCGTGTTTTAACACACAATAGATTTAAACCAGTGATGTTCCACCTAATGTATGATCTCTGTACCCAAAAAAACCCCTACAACCATTATTTACTTCCTCTTTCTGGGCTACAGTTTATAATATGTGTTACTCTTCAGGAAGGTCTCTCCAGTGGACAACAAAAATGCAGCTGTATTATAACACTAATCCCATGCTACACTGGTTAACCTAAAGAACAAACGTGCTGTGATATAATCCCTCTATCACACAAACATACATCTGCTGGGTCTGAGGTCAGCACTAACAGATTGCAGACAGTTTAAGAAGCCCAATACCAAGCAGCTTGTGTCACATGCTTTTAAACCTCCATTAGTCCCACCCTGTATGTGGCGTATGACATGGAACTATATTTAGCGGAGCCCACATTAGTTGTGCAAACTCGTCTCACAGCGTTAAAATGTGCCGTACCCTTTTTTTGCTCTCAGCAGACTTTCTGCTGCGATTGTCTTTCAAAACTGCAACGCATGAACATTTACTGCAACAGAGCTCAAATAACAGGGCTTCACTGGCACGGCCAGTCTGTTATATAACCCAAAAAAAATAAAAATGGACAGAAGCTGCGCCAACAGAAACTACACTTGCTCCAGTTCCACTGCCCATGGGGAGAGCAAAGTGACTGAAGTGTACTGCTGAGAGAGATATGTAGGCGCTGCATACTGACATCACCGAATGAGTGACTATCAGAAGATGTTGACACGATTCTGATCTACTTACACATTTGTGATGAGTCAGTGTTAGGGCTACTTAATAATTAGAGTTATGTGCAAGAAGAAGACAGGTCCAAGTATCCATCTTTGGTGTGATATGAATTCAATAAGGAACCACTGTAAGTCATTATCCTATTTATCTCACACAATGAGAAACAAGACACAAAAACAGACAACCAATCAACTCAAACACAAGACAAAGAAATGCTCCATAAACAACTTTACACTTATTTACACCACTCCTCCTCAAGAGGTGAAACATGCACGTTCCATCCAGTGGCAGTGTATCACTGACAAAAGTCACCTCTGGTACACTTACACAAATATTTCCAAGATTATCATCTAACCTCGAGTGTAAATTTCCAGAAAAGCCTTGCTGACCAGATGGCAAGAAAAGGGTGCTTTTAAAACGGGTGCGACCTGCTTCAGATCACCGAACCATTTGTTTACGCGCCAATTGGTTTATGGCTCCTAGAAGAAAAGCCACCCGGTGATGACAACAGCAGGTCACACAGTGAAGAAAGCCTTCCCTTTATAACACTGAAACACCAGTGGCTCTTTGATAAACCTCAACTCGCCTGTGGCAAAGGGTGACTGAGCCATTTGATCTCTTTAGCAGCACAATGTTACATGATAACAGAATATCATCATGCTGTCACACATTCAAAACTTCTCAGTTCTTTAAAATGTTAACTCTTCCCACCTTTTTTTGGCAGACCTCTTCCCTTGCCCAATCGGGACTTTCTGTCTAGCAGCTTGCTCTTGGGGCTGGTGGGTGCCACCGAGGTTCCCCTGACCACATCCCCGTTGTCGCTGAGAGAGTCCCCCCTGCCAGAGTCCCGAGAGGAGTTCTTCCTCAGTCTCCGCTTGGCCTTCGCCTTGAGACGCGCCTCGTGGATGCTGTTGCTGGACGAGGACACCCAGTTGCCATTGATCTCGTTGTTGATGTTTTTGTTGGCGATAACGACGGCACCATTTTCTTCGTCTCCAGATGCAAAGGAGTCACTCAGGTCCCCTGCCTCTGTTGGACAAAAAGAGGGGCAAGTTAATGTTTTAGTTGAGTAAGTAGCTTTTTATGTGCAGAACAGATCAGGGAGACTAGAGCTGATGCATTAAATGTTCTTTTGTTGTATAAATCTCAGTAGGGGGGGCCATGTGCAAATACAATAAAGAGACTGGATTATACTGTTGTCATTTTTTTTTATCTGAAGTCACAAAAAGCTACAAAATGAAGGATGAGCAGCAGCAGAATATAATCAATGTCAAACATCACCGAACCTGCAGGCAGTGCAAGAAAACAAGCAACAAACCACTTCCGCATGAGAAAGTCCCAGTGCCCCACATCAGACAGCTGATGAAGCATTTAAATCGCTGCGTAGCTCTCACTCACCGACAGGGTTTGCGTTCAGCCAGGCCTCGCAGTCAGTTGCCATGTTTCACAACAGAAAAAGAGACTCTCCGTGCAACAAAAAGAAGAAGGATTTCAAGGGAGACCTGCAACGTTGAAGAGGAAACAGACACTTTATATGCAGACATGCGACAATAACATGCCCAGACATGCTGCAGCGCAACAAGCTCCCCCCCCCCCCCCCCGACCCATTCACAGCCACACTGTTGGTAAACAATGGCTAACGTCGCGGTAGCTTCAATGTTCACTGTCAAACAAATAGTTGCATCGGAAGACCAAACTCCAGAGTAGATAACTGCACATATAGCAACGATTACTCCTCACACAGTGACTCAAAGTGCAGTTTACAGACTGTTGTTACGGATAC